ACACGGACACATCCTCCTTCACTTCATCTTTGATGTCAAGAACAATATAGTACTTTAATTTTTCATTGATGATCGGGCGATATTGGCTGCTGTACCAAAGCCGCACACGATCCGGAGAAGCTTTGGCCAGATCCACCAGAAAATCGAGGGTAGTGACCGCTTCAGTCCACCGGTTGCTAGTGGAACCCATGCACTCCTCGTCTAGGCCGTCTAGTATGAAATAAGACCTAGGGAGAAGTCCCACCAACATTATGATGAGCTCCTGCAGTTTTTCGTGAGAGCAGACGTTCTGCTGTGTCTTCATGTACATTTCCTCCGAAATCACCTGCGTGCGCCTCCAATGCTCGTCGAGGAGCTGGCTGGCAAGCAGCCGGAGAGTCTCCGAAGCGAAGTTCGTTTGGTCGAAACGGTAGAAATGATACGCCAGCGCGGCATCTGGGTCCTCCTTGAGCGCTTGTATAGCGCGCGACGAAAGGATAGACTTCCCCGTCGCGGGGGGCGCGTGCACCCAGAGGATGGGGGGCAGTGACGGCCCATCACGCCAATTGACGTAGGTGCGGTGCTGGAGAAGCCATTCACAGGTTCCGCGCAGGTGCAAGCCTGTGAGTGCTCGAAAATGTCTCATGTCATTTTCGTTGCTCTGACGAGCACAGAGCCATTCGCTGATATTGCGATACCGCTCCCCTGGGAAATATTGAACAAGGAGAGTTGAAGATAGAGCATGACATACCTTGCCGGTCGGCTTGGGCTTCCTCGCGCCATGCAGCCTGGGCCGTTCGTTCTTTTTGAGCAGCGGTCCTCTCCATCTCCGCTCGAAACCGTTCCAACTCGGCGGCTTGCCTTTCCGACTTGCCCTTGGTAGCTTCCAGTATGGATGCAAGCTGCTCGATCTGGTCCGCATCGTCTTCGATGTCCTTGATGATCTTATTCAACTTGTTTGTGCTGAACGAAGAGGCCGCTTTTAACATTCCGGTGTACCCTGTCATCCGTATCAGCGCGCCCAGTGGCGATCTCAAAGCTTAGTAATACTTGCAAGACGTATCACACTCCTTGTCTACCCGAGACCAGAAGCGGAGGATATTGATGTATGCACTGCAGAATAGGTTCTGAAGCATGTCGGAATCGCCGTAAAGATATTCGTAGTCATTGATGCGTTGGAGCTGCGTTGTGAGCAGGCGCAGTTCTTTCTTTATTGTATCGAAGAGATGAAGGAATCGATGGGCACCCTGCGCCGGGATTTAGATAAACTTTGTCTTCCCGACTAAGTTATCGACGTACATCGACCACGATTTTCAATGCACCCCAGATTATGGCGCTGGGCATCGGATCTGCGGAAACTGGATATATCGTGAGCAGATGCAGTCGGAAAATAGATACCGCCGACCCAGGTTATTAATGATATCATCGAAATTTCTGAGCACATCGACGACTGGGCGCAGTATTTTGTTTGCTATTCGCCTTGCGGGCTGATCTGAATGTTTTTGTTCAGCTTGCTTCAGGGATTCATTGATAGATTCCGGCGTGACTGGAGTCGTAGTGGCGCAGCAGGCCACAATAAATTTGCGCTTCTTCTTCTTTTCTGGAAGGCTGGCGATGTAGCTGTCTAGTGCGCGTTGAAACGTTGAACGAGCGCCTTGTCTGAAACGACGATAAAAAACAATGAAAATACGAGGCGCGGGAACTTACGTTGTTGGGCTGTTCATGTCGAGCACAGACTTTTTTCAAAGTCGTGGTACCAGTTCAACTGCAGTGCATCCGCCTCGGGCTAGATTGCTAATCCCAACAAAGTTGCATCTGTCGAGCGCGCGCTTACTACTTGGATGATCTCCGAAGAACGCGCCGACATCGGAACGCCCAAGTGGTTGCCAAGGGGTGATATTTAACACTGGACGTGAGCGAAGTCGCAAACGGTGGATGATATTCAGTCTGATTTAGGATTACGGGGACACAGAAGATGAGATTGAAGAGAAAAACACTTTGACGGATCAACGATAATCGATCGGCAATGGCAAAGTTATGATCAATGGCTGTGCTAAGCAGTGCTAAGCGCGTTCCTCAATGGCAGTTCAAAGTCTTCGCATCCTGGGAGCACCTGTCTTGTTAAGCGCTCGATATAAAGTCTGGTCGGGACCACGTTTTTTTGCTCCGACAACCGGTTAATTTTCCAAGAGTCAAATTCATTGATCATGGATCCGTCCCAACCTGCTGCTCCGGAGGATACTCTTAAAGCAACCCCTGCACATGCACGAATCCTCCGTTATGATGAATAGTATGTTTTGTGTCGCATCGTAAATCGAAACCTGCTCAAGATCGCATTAGCTTCGATTTGTGCGTTCTCACCCGGTGGTGTACATACTAATCATCGATTGATTGTCTCGCAGGCGGACTTTCGCGAAAACTTTAAGAAAAACAAGTAAACCCGCGAAGAAACTCAGCAACAAAAAACCAGTGCTGGTGGTCCGCCGGCTTATTGACGATAAAGGACGGCACAATGGGACAGAGGTCGACGTGAAGAGCGTGGGGTTATGTCAAGTCCTCCTTGAGCTCAACGCAGATGTAGAAGGGTTTTCCCTCACTTTCCACAACCCCGTCGTACGTTGGGCCACTCAAACATATGTTTTGCTCATTCTGGTGTGCAGATCCAGTCGCGCGAGATGTTTCACTGCCGTCCCGCTCTCATCGAGAGGCTGGAAGAAGAGCAAGTCAAATCTGAACCGGATGCTGTGCTTATGAACGACATTTCGACGGCTCTCCAGGTCGGTCGGTCAATGGCTGTACACGCTGAATCTGATGTTGACCCCATCGATGGCAGTTTATCCATGAGGATTACGCTGAAACTTTCGGTGATTTCAACATGCTTGCGTGAGTTACCAGCTCCTGAGCCGGAATTGACCTGAATTGGACTGCAGACACAATGAGATCTCTTTTGACCTTCTGTGGGTCGTCTTTCCCCCCAATTGTCTGGTATATCGACATCACACGTACACGGAACAAGACCAGATCCTCCTCGCGCGCACTTTCGAATATACGCGCGACGATGGGGTCTTGATCGCCCTAATCGAGTGCGACGTCCTCAATAACGACGGCAACTCGTTTGGCTTCGCGCGGGAGACAATAACGCTCAACTCGTTCCGTGGTGCGCGTCGAATTCAGGACCTTTCGTTGTACCCCGTCGCCTATCACCCAAAGAAAGAAGAGATCTGTGCCATGGCATTAAAGCGAGGGAAAAGGTTTGTTGCTCTCCCAGAACACAGCTATCACGAGATCAGTGGTCCCGGCATGAGGGAGACAATGAATTCGGATTATCGAACCCGACAATTCAAATTCACTGTGAGGCAACATAGATTATTCTGGACAATGCACACTACTTATCTGACGAGCGCCCAGGCGCGCGGACGTGCGATGATCGACCCAGTCGCTTTTCGCCTCTTTGAGCCGAATTCTGGTCTCAATCTCAGCGTTCATCGAAAACTCGAGCGAGATAGTTTAACCGACATACAATACATGATCTGCACGCCGATTGTGCTCGGCTTTTGCTTCGGCGTTAAGGTGTGGGGTGCGTGAATTCATCTCTGCCCACCTGAATGTCGTAATTTATCGGCATACCACACCAGGTGGTTTCGCGATGGACCGCCTGGAGGACCTCATCTGGTCCGACGAAGCCTTCCGCTCCCTCGTTCTGGGATCCAAGCAGAAAATGCTCATACACTCCCTCTTCAAGAGCCACAGCGCGCGCGCCGCGACGTTCGACGATATCGTCAAGGGGAAAGGCAAGGGGCTTATCGGGCTCTTCTCCGGGAGTCCTGGTTGTGGAAAAACCCTCACGGCTGAGGCCGTCGCCGAAATAACACGCCGCCCGCTATACTCGGTCAGCGCGGGTGAATTGGGCACCCAGCCCAAGGAGCTGGACCAGCGGTTAACCCTCATCCTCGAAATCGCGCAGACGTGGGATGCTGTACTACGTGAGCCTCTCAATACATTTTCACGGAGAACCAAGACACATATCTCGTTGTTTCAGTCCTGGACGAAGCAGAAGTTTTTTTGCAGCGGCGGAGCATGGAAGATGTCACGCGCAATGCGCTGGTGTCCATCTTCCTGCGGCAGCTGGAGTACTACCAGGGAATTATGATCCTAACTACCAACATGATAGCCCAGTGTGACCCGGCATTCGAGAGTACGCGTCGTTCCGCCTTTCGCTTCGTCAATCTGACTGTTTTTGCCAGGTCGAATACACTTTTCGATACACTACCCAGATCTCGACTTCGACTCGCGGAAGAAGATCTGGAAAACCTTCTTTGCGAAGGTCTTGAAGGACCCCGCCAGTATCACACCTGAAAGCCTCGACAGGCTGGCAAACCTCCCCATGAATGGCAGACAGGTTCGTGGCTTCCGGCGTGCGGGCGCTATTGTTAATTGGCTCCATACCAGATTAAGAACGTCGTCAGCAGCTCACAGTGCATTGCGTTGGATGCGAATGCGGACCTGACTGTAGAGCATATCGACGCGGTGCTAGACGTGGTGGATGACTGGCATGTAGCCACGGCGTCATAATACACATGGACAGTAGAGTGTGCAATATAGTTTGGATTTGGAAGTACTACCCCATATTATCGCTGATCGCAACGTCGTGTGGTCATTGCACACCTAATAAAGCAATCTTTCCGCCTCGTTAAATGGGAGGTAAAAAGGTGAGCTTTCAGATGAAAGTACTGCTTTCCCGGACCAATACGAAAAATCTCGGCCAGCGGAATGTAGTTCTTTCATCTCTTTCCGAAAGCGACGCAAACGGTTTCATTTCAAACCTCCCATTTAACAAGGCTGAAAGATTGCTGTTTTAAGTGTGTTGATGAGTACATGCAATAGGGGTCCCGCCCAAAAAAAAAACTCAATTTCCGAGTTCAGTGTCAACACTCCCACGCCTCTTTCGACCAAAACAAATGCTCGAGTCACAGCGAAAGCTCGAAGCATCCGCATGTGGGCTTCAACGCAAGCAGAAAAAATACTCACGCTGAGGATTGAACTCAGGACCCCCGCATTGAATAACATTTCGTAGTCCGGTGACCACAAGCAGGTAACCTCATAAGAGCGATGCTCTAACCAGCTGAGCTACGTGAGCTTGGTTTCGGGAGCTATAGATCGGGGGACCTTCCTGGAATCCTGGTGGGTGCGTGCCATTGATGCGAATTAATTTCTGAAGCAGAAGCAGCCAGCCTTTCAATTCTTTAGCGCCCGGGCCGTTGCTTCAGTCTCTATTCTCAAGACGAACGCCATGATATTCTCCATCTGAAGCTGTGAATGTGAGTCGTCGACGAGGGAGGACCGGGTTACAGTGTATAGGTCAGCAGCCTCAGACGAAGCAACAATTCCACTCGGTTGAATATTAGCTTCAAGGATTTCGAAGGAGGAGGATAATTGCGGATCGAGCTCCGCAGGATAAGTTGTAGGTATTGGAGGAACTGCCTTCGGGCATCTCGGGCAATCCGCCAGAGTCATCCTGTGTCCCGTAGAACAATACGGAACATGATAGCACATTGTAGAATAGTGGAGAATATTTATTATGACTCAATATGACTTGACTATGGCTGTACACTTTGTAGTATTTAAACCGCTGTATTTCGTACTATGATAATAACAACTTTATCTTGAACCACTACAACCTCTGTGTGATTATCTAGACGCGCTTACCCCGCGTCATCAACCCATCTAAGTAAACTGCGCCAACAGGTTATGGGCCCCGGCCTGAATCTATAATCACACAGTTTATTAGCGACACTCTATTCTCATCGAAGAATCAGCACCGACAACTCTGTAATACAGACCCGTACCAATCTACTCGCTTCTGGACATGACTGAACACTCTACACGCATTGAACTCCTCAATGAGGAGAACTGGATGCCATGGAAGCGTCGCATACTCGCGATACTCCGTGACAACAAACTCGAAGGTTACGTTGATGGCACCGAGGCTTACCCAACGGCAGCAGACCCAGCAAAGCCAACTGCGGATGAGAAGAAATTGATATCAGCATGGACCAAGGCCGATGGCAAAGCGCGAAGCAAAATTGAACTTGCTTTGGGAAATTCCCAGATGGTACATCTTGCGGGAGCTACAACTGCGGCCCAGATGTGGGCACAACTTTGCACTGTCAAAGAAGCCAGAGGTCAGCTAGGTATCATGTCGTATCGACGGAGACTCTACCGTACGATAGCCGAAGAAGGTACAGACATTGCAGCTCACATCACGGAGCTACACTCTATTCAGGAGCAACTGAACACAATGAGTAGCTTGGTATCAGACCAGGAATTCCTCATCGCGTTGATCACCTCTCTCCCAGAAAGCTGGGACTCATTCACGAGCTCGTACCTGGCAGCAAACAATGGTAAGTTAACAAGTAACCCAGTGCCAGCTGCCAATGTACCTTCCCCCGGTGGGCCTGCGAGCCCTGTCACTGTCAGTTCTCACGAACTAGTTGCCCTCATTCTTGAGGAGCATCGACGTCGGAAGGAGAAAGCTGGAGAATCTGGTACAGGATCATCAGCACTGTTCGGAAGGAGTCAAAGTACTCATGGGCACAGCAATACCTCGAACAACATCAATGATGGTTGTTTCAACTGCGGAAAGCCGGGCCACATGGCCAAGGATTGCTGGGGCAAGGGTGGTGCCAAGGAAGGTCAGCGCCCGAGTAATGATAGTGGTAAAGGTAAAGGGAAATGGAACGGTAAGAGGAAGAGAAATTCTGCTAACCTAGGTACGCAAGAAGATTCCGCCAACTCGAACCAAGAAATGTCGTTTATGGCCACCAATATCCAATCCGAAAACCCCCACTTCGATTCACGTCTATCAAGAGACGCGTGGCTAGCCGATTCCGGCTGTACGGTCCATATCGCCAATAGACGAGATATATTCTCGGATTATACTCCGTTGGAGGGCGAAACCATCAATGGACTGGGCGACAATTCTGTGAAGGCCCATGGCCGTGGAACAGTTAGACTCGAGAGCTATAATAATGGCCAGAAGGAAACAGTTACCTTACCCAACACATTGTACGCACCAACAGCCGCCAATAATCTGCTTTCGATAGCCCGCATCGATGATGTTGGAGGATCAGCCACATTTCAAGACGGCAAGGTGAGCATTCACACCAAATCTGGAAAATTGGCTCTACAAGGTAGGAAACGGCTCCGACTCTACTTGCTTGATGCAAAAGCAGTTGTCATACGGAACCAAGCCAATGTTGGTAATTCTGAGGATGTTAACCCGAATAGCTGGACGGCATGGCACCGCCGTTACGGCCACGTTTCTAACTCAACACTTGAGCTCCTCATCAAGAATCAGTCCGTAGAAGGACTCACCATCGATCCCAGCAGCAAACCCGAATCCGAGGTGTGCGAGGCCTGCATTCAGGCCAAAATGCATCGCAAGCCATTCCCGCATAAAGCCCTTCACAGGTCAGAGAACCCAGGAGAAGGCATCCACAGTGACCTATGGGGTCCTGCACGTACCAAATCAATGGAAGGAAATTATTACTACATTTCTGATGCCAGCCGCAGAATGACAGTTCTGTTTTTGAAAACCAAGGACCAGGCAAGAACCAGAGTCATGGAGCACATTGAATGGCTGGAACGGCAGCGCGGTTATAAACCGAAGTGGATTCGTGTTGACGAGGGACGGGAATACCTCAATGAGAAGCTCATGTCAGCACTTGCCGCAAAGGGAATTGAAATTCATTTGACGGCACCTTACTCACAGTCCCAGAACGGTGTTTCTGAGAGACTAAATTGGACACTTGTTGAGCTAGCACGGGCGATGATAGCAGAGAAAGACTTACCCAAGAGCTTGTGGGAGTTTGCTGTCACTCACGCCGCATACATCCGAAATCGATCACCGACGAAAGCTCTGCCTGACGGAATAACACCGCATGAGGCATTCACGAAGGAGAAACCCAATGTATCTCACTTCCAGGAGTTTGGAACACCAGTTTGGATTTTCCGCGAAGACGTTGAAAGCTTATCAAAGCTTGACAAGAGGGCAATTAAACATATATTTTGTGGCCACCTGGACGGCCCCAATGCAGTACGGTACTATGACACAAGAACTCACTGCGTCAAAATCTCCCGCAACTTCCAGTTCACCGATCCCTCCATCAAGTTCACCGAAATTTCCGCAGATGCACCATCCGAGGGGGAGAAGAACGACGGAACTGCGAATGGCACATCAGCGAAACCAGCAAACCAGCCAACGACGCAGAACGTACCTCTGCCAGCATCATCACATCTACCATCGCCGTCCACACCACTACTGTCTGCACCAATCAAGAGCCCAAGTACGCCGAAGCCCACTCCATCATCATCATCCCCTCGTCTCGCAACGGAACACACTCCGAAGATTAATCAGTTAAATCCTATCCCACTCCGCAGATTGACACGCACGGTCAACACTGGTTGAACATTTCACATTTTTGAGTGAAAAAATTGATAAAAAATGTCGTTCAATTTATAGCCATTTTTCACCGAAAAAAGAAGTGAAAAATTTAAAACATTTTCACCACTTTTTTGACTTGAAATCAAAGTGAAAAATGTGAAACAAATTTTGTGATGTTGTTAAGATGTTTCTTTTGCATTTTTTGACTGAACTCAAGGTGAAAATGATGGTGAAAAAATCAAAAGTTTTTTCACTAATTTTTTCAGCAGAAATCAAAGTGAAAAATGTGAAACAAAGTTGGTCATATTGTTAAGATGTTTGTTTCACATTTTTGACTGAAACTCAAGGTGAAAAATGCGAAATATCACTTGTTGAACATTTCAATTTTTTGAGTGAAAAAATTCATAAAAATGTTGTTCAATTTATTGGCATTTTTTCACCGAAAAAAGAAGTGAAAAATTCAAAACATTTTTCACCACTTTTTGAGTTGAAATCAAAGTGAAAAATGTGAAATAAAGTTTGTGATGTTGCAAAGATGTTTCTTTTGCATTTTTTGACTGAACTCACGGTGAAAATGAAGGTGAAAAAATCAAAAGTTTTTTCACTAACTTTTTCACCAGAAATCAAATTGAAAAATGTGAAACAAAGTTGGTCATATTGTCGAGATGTTTGTTTCACATTTTTTGACTGAAACTCTAGGTGAAAAATGCGAAACATCACTAGTTGAACATTTCAAATTTTTGAGTGAAAAAATTGATAAAAATCTCATTCAATTTATTGGCATTTTTTCACTGCAAAAAAGAAGTGAAAATTTTAAAACATTTTTCACCACTTTTGTGAGTTGAAATCAAAGTGAAAAATGTGAAACAAACCTCATGTTTTTCTTCGAACTAGTGATACCATTAATTTATACACATTTCAAGGTAAAAACAAAGGTGGAAAAATGAACAGTTTTTTGACCAGTTGTTTCACTAGAAATAGAAGCAAAAAATGCAAAACAAACAGTGGGGGCAAAAGCTAACTCACCCAGAATTCACATGTGTTTCACTCATGTGTTCCGAAGGTGGTTGGCAGCTAAACAAAGCCGATATCACAGTCCATCAATTGTTCTTTGCCAGACAAAATACACACAAAGAATAGACAAAGGACAGACAAAGGAGCTTGGAAATCCTGTGGCCCTTTGTCCTTTGTCCTGTGTCCTTTGTCCTTTGTCCTTTGTCCTTTGTCCTTTGTCCTTTGTCCTTTGTCCTTTGTCTTTTGTCCGTTGTCCTTTGTCTTTTGTCCGTCCTTTGTCTATTGTCTGCCTTTCACTGGTGAAGCAATTCAAGTTTTTTTGACGGAAAAATTGGTAAAAAATTCAAAATCTGTTTAGTACATTGTATTTTGGGTCCCAGTGGCATTTTAGGTGCATCTCAGGTCCCTGCATCTATTTCTGGTGTGCTTGGGCCCATGCCACCCACCGTTCCCTCACGGATTTAAAATCCGAAAAATCACCCTTTATTGCTGTTTTAATGAGTACTTGGCCCGCGGTGAGTCCAATCCCAGACGGATTTTGTGGCCCAGCGGCATTTTAGGTGCATTTCAGGTCCCTGCATCCATTTCTGGTGTGCTTGGGCCCATGTCGTCTGCCGTTCCCTCACGGATTTAAAATCCGAAAAATCACCCTTTATTGTTGTTTTAATGAGTACTTGGCC